CTTCATTTATAGGAAATATTCTAGTGGCATAAAATCAGGGAAACTTGAACATTTCCTATCTTTACACAGAAATCTCATAAAAGATATAACCTAACTTCCTACTATATCCCTCACTCTTGGAAGCTGGAGATGGTTCACCCTTTAGAAAACCATGGTTCAACACAGATGTTCAGGTTTGTTATTTGTCACCACAGTCTTCAGTAGAAAATGAAGACTGACTGAATCAGTCCAATCAGTTCTGTTGTTTAGTAGCTGAATTATTCAGTCTATTATGTTTCTGTGCCTTACTTTTCTTGTGATTTAAATTCAAGAATGCAATAGATGTAATGTAAAAATAAATGATACTTTCTGTGCAAAATACTTAAAACAGATCAGGTTGGTAATAACTCTTTAATTTGTTAACTTCCTTTAAAGCATCATTCAAATGTATTCTTTTAATTTTTTCATTTAAAATGCACAGAATTATCTACAATTTCTTCTTTTCTTTCTTTTTCACCAGTTAGCCCTGTCCCACCAGCCAGCTCTGAAATAACCACACAGAGACTTAATATTAATTATAAACGCTCAGCCCATAGTTTAGACATGCTACTAGCAAGCACTTAAACTTCAATTAACCCATACTTCATTTATCTACCACGTGGCTTGGTATCTTGTCTCAATATTCTGGGTTTATCTCCTCCTTCCTCTGAATCTTGTTTGTTACTCTTGAGACTCTGCCTTTCTTCTTCCCAGTGTCCTCCTAGTCTGATTCCCCCAACCAATCTCCTCTTGGCCAACTATAGACAGTCAGCTCTTTATTAACCAATGAAAGTAATATATGTTTACAGTGTACAAAGATTTTTACACCGCATTTTGCTAGAGAAGAGACTATTTGAAATTGGCCTTTGAAACTGGGGAATTTCAATTCATGTGTGGTGGAAACTATCTGTAGTCACAAAGATGATCCTGAGCTGCAGTTAACTTGAGCTATCCTTGAAGTGCTGGGCCAGAGACACCATGTTTCAAGAAATTGAGGGAGGGGGTAAACCAAGAAGGGGGGAAGAGGAAAAAGTGGAGGTAAGGAAAGGGAGAAAAGAAGGAAAGAAAAATAGGGGTTTATTTTTATATTTTGGGGGAAAAATGAATGTTTTGTTTCCAAAAATGTATGAAATCATGAAAAGTTTGTCTGACACCTCAACCATGAAACAGATACTGCAAATTAAACTGATAAATTGAACCATGGTCTCCATGATTATATAACTATTAATATGAAGCATTTCCACCCAAGCGCTTATAAGTTGAGATGGCTACCCATAGTCACAGGACTCTTAAGTCACTGTGGAGGGGAAGTACATACCAACCACACTCAGAGTGAAAGCAAGAGAAGACCCTGAACCATGTCAACATCCCATACATGGAAATGCATCTGTGTCATTTGTGTCACAAGAAGTGTGTAGTATAAAGGGAGAAGAGTTCAACTATAACTTTATCTCCTGTGTTATAAAGAAAACATAATAGGTCTTTTTCTCCTTTGGAAAACTGTGGTTGAGGGATGGAAAAATTGTCTTTAGTGTTCTGCCACTTGCTCATGGAAAATGTGGGGTTTGAAACCAAGTCTGCCACAACTCACTATGTGTTATTAAAAACAAAACAAAATACAACTCTGGGTTCTTACCTGAGAACCCTTACAGCATCACAGGAGAAGTCTCACAGCCTAAAGGATGCCATGGATCCCGTTCTTCTGTTATACATGCAAAAATGTGTTCAAAATTGATTCCAGGTATAGTGTTTTCCTTAACTGGATTACAAAACTTTACCTCAGAGCCTGGCATTCAGCTAGGACTAAAGTTCTCTCCATGAATATATTTACTAAATGAACATTTAAGATAATTTGGAATTGACTTTTGAAATAGGAAGAAAAAATTCTTTGAGTGAGGTCAAGTGTAAAGTCATACTAGTGTGAGCTGAATTGTGTCATGATAGTTTAGGTGGAGAGATGAAAAGGGGCACATACAATCTACACACAATGTTTACAGGAGAAAACAGTAATGGCACGTCACTGCTCTTATGTACTAACCTTGTCATATACCACAGAGAGGGTTTCTATTAGATTTTTTATTTCACAAAACTACTAGAACTTTCTCAGATTAAAAACATTATCAAAGCCACAGTACTTTTAAATAATTTTCATGGCCATTTTGTTGGAAGAATAATAAGAGTTTGTGTCTTTAGGCAAAATTTTAAAAACTTAGAGTAAACTAAAGTCATACTGTCAAAATAAATTTTATATAAAGGTAAGGTTTTGATTGCAATATTCAGTTGTCTCTTTTTTCCTTTCTATATGACTTTAATTTTTAGAGCAAATATACCTTACTAGGTATTTCACTCCCCAAAAAATACAATGGAGACCTTCTAATGTCCAAGTATTAGGAAATAAAAGAAATTGACAAAAAACATCAATTATTTTCATGAGTCAGCACTGTGCTGGCTGCTATATGTATACATACATACATATACATAGTGTTATTGCAATATATAAATAAGAAAAAAATTAAAAATGGAAAACAAAATGGTAATTAGAAATTTCATAGCATCAGTTCCATATCTTGTAAAGAAAGGAAAATTTAAAGTAATATAGTTTCAGAGACAGTTCTTAAATCTGAAAAATCCCTTGCAAGATTATCTGTGACCTACTGTACCCTGAAATTGACATTGAGGAATTATTGTTGTTGAGTGCTCACTGCAGGTATGAAACCATGACAAGTTATGACATAGCCACCACTATTAAAGGAACCTCTGAATGCTTTGCACATTCAGAGCCCTGGCCTCCAGCTTAGGCAAACAAAGATGGAGATGATAGACCACTGAAAAATGCTTCTAAATTTTCCTGGGGTTCCTGATAATCAATGGGAGAAATTTTTTTCTTTCTCAGGAAGCAAATAGAAGAAATGAATCATTTTCCTACATTAAATTAAATAAATAAATTGTTCTTTCAAATTTTATTTATACTGCTTTTATTCTTGTCTTCTAAAAAATTACAATGAGACAAAACGAATGTAAAGTTGGGTGTTCGGTGGGTAGGGTGTAAAAGGAAGATCCAAAGGAAAGTTGTGTGGAAACGAATATGATCAAAATATAGTGTAGGATATTTTTGAAAAATAATAGCCATAAAAATTACAATGAATTTCAGTGGAAAAGTTCTTCAAATGTGTTCTTTAAAGTTAGTGTGTGGCATTTATTCATTAATTCACGAGAAGCAGTAGCCATGATCCACACCCAGCACAGCGCTTCCATTTAACCTGAGTGGGCACACAATGGCATTGTCCTCAGATTGCTTCATCATTCACAATTGCATCATATTTGGCAGCAGCTGTTATCAAGTATGTGTGATTCAACATTCTGTTTCATTGGTTCACAGGCCTTCATCTGCATGGGGAATGATGCCTTCTTGACAGGATAACAACAGAGAGCAAAAAATCAGGAGTTTTTCTGAGAGAATTATTCAGAAAACCAAGCTGGGAAGATTTGTGGATAAAGCCATACTTTCATTTTATACATATGGCCTCCACGAGTCAAATCGTGCATTATTCAATGGTTATATGTCAAATCAATTAGAACCAGGACTACATTACAATTACCACTCAAGAGACAAAATGAAAATAAGGATGTATGCTCTTGAACTTATATATTGCCTCCAACAAATTTAAGGCAACCTTCATGTCTTAATATGCTGCAATTACTTAGAGCCCACCTTTCCTTGAACATTATATCTGTATCAAAACAATCATTGAACATTATATCTGTATTTTTTACATATTTAAACAGGGTTAAAGTTTTATTTCAGTCAATGATTTGTTTCAACTGCTCACATAAATCCATTTCATCCCAAAAAGAAGCAAAATGCTTCTAGTGGTGTAACAGTTGGCATCACCCATCCAGACATCTCCCAAACATACAGCCCTCAGAAAACTTCAATGGAGCTTGACCTCAAATAGAGTTTTGTCCTCTAGACATAAGTTTTCAAATTGCCTCTTAGATATCCATCATCAGTCAGCTGGCAGGGTAGACCACTGAGCTAACTCCTGATAGCTGAGTTGTCACTGGAAATAATTTATCCTAAGTGAACACATGAAGACCCCGGGGTTGGGAAGACTTGTGTGAGCCTCACTCACGCAGTGTCACCTAGAACAGCCTGTGTCATAGATGTCTTTCACGTCTATGGTGGTCAAGCCCGAGAGCAAAGGGCACAAGGCCGCTCACTCACTGCGGGTTTCACAGTAGAAGACTAACAAGGGAGGTACCATGAGGCATAATCCAGATGCTAAAAATGACACACCAGGTCTGTCTGTATGTCTATCCACTTGCTTTCTTACGGTAGCTGCAGTGTTCATTCACGTGAAGCATGCTGCAGCCTAGCCCATTGTCTAAGTGCCCAGTAATACTAATCCCCTCCTCCACTTTCCCAGAAAAAGTAAAGTTAGTCCTTGAACTTTGAAGGTACTTTATATGAACAAAAAATTAGTATTTCTATCCGTATCCTTGTCAGCATGATCCAGAACTGCTCTCGATGGTGTCTTCTCTTTTGTAAAATAAACACTATCCTGTTTGAAGTACATATGAGGTTTCATCTCTGTTCTGTCTTCTTTACTTTCCATTATGAAAAGTTATTTCTGAGGAATTGAAACCCCGGAAGGTAACAGCCCCGCAAAAGAAAAAGAAACATTTAAAACAAAATTTTAAATGATGAATCAAAACCACACTTGAGAAGTATTTAAGAGGCAGGCGGTAGCAGATGTGGTCCCTGGAGGGAACCGTTCTAATTATTATCTACATAGTCAAGTCACACAACTTTGCCAAGGTCATGAGATAAACTGGTACTTGAAAATTAGGTTGACTAGACATGAGGGGAGATTTAAAAAAAAACTAGAAACAGGTTAATGAAAAGGATTTCAAGTGCCTGGAACCGCAGCAGATATCCCTCATTCTCGTTGCCTCTGGTGCCTCGCATCTTGTCCCCACCATCACCGACACCCTGAAGAGCATTCTCGCAGAGCTATTTTGTTAGGATTCAGAATTTCAATCCAGTAGCCGTCAGGATCTTGAATGGATGCCAGACCTTTCATTTTTCCATCATCAGGTTTCTTCACAAACTTGACTCCCAGCTCTTCAAATTGCTTACAGGCACTATAGACATCAGGGACAGCAATCCCAATGTGACCAAACCCCCGAGGGTCTGAGTTGCTGTTGTGGTAACTCTGGGTCTCATCATCTTCAGTGCCCCAGTTGTGTGTCAACTCAAGTGTAGCTTTTCTGGAAAACATCCATGCTGTTCTTTCACTCTTATCTTTAGGGATATCATTCTTATCCTCGTAAGCCAAGAAGTAGAGGGAAAATTTCATTGAAGGAAAATCTAACTTTTGGAGTAGCATCAGTCCAAGGACCCTAGTATAAAAATCCAGGGACTTCTTAGGATCCTTAATTCTCAGCATCGTTTGCTGCGTTATGAAGTCCTTGATGCTGAGGTCCGGGTCAGAGCAGCAGCTGATGGCGGCCTCGTCCTTGAGGCCGCTGGGTGAGGGTTGTGGCTCTGCCATGGCCGCCCTGGAGGATCGCCATTCAGCTCTGCCAAAAAAACCAGTGGGCCACAAACTTCTCAAAGACCGTGGGCCGCCTTTGCAAAAGACTGAGTGACCAGAAAGGTCATAATATCTGTATTAACACAATTATATATGATTTAGGGGTATTTACATATTTTACAAGCTCTAAGAGTTCTTCTTTTATATTTCACTCATACTGTTTTTTTTTTCTTGCCATCTAAAAATTTGCAATGAGATACAAATAACACAAAGTTGGGGGGGATAGGAGAGGGAGGAGGAGCTGGGAGATGTTGGGAGAGGATAAAGAAAGAATATAATTAAACTATATTGTATGGGGAGGAGGAAAAACAGGGAGCAGCTTACATGGAAGAGATGGCGAATCCCCATGAATAAAGTTGTTTATGAAAAAATACATTGTATGAAAAATTATAAAGCAATAGTAATAAATTACAATAAATTAAATTATTTTTTATTTTATGTATGTTTTTATTTAAATTAGAAACATGCATACTTCAAATGTCTATCTCGGCTCCCCCCTTCTCCCTCCACCAGCCCTACCACCACCCCACCACCCCCAGCCCAATCCCCACATCATTCCCTAGGAAGGGTAATGCCCTCCTTGGGAGGATCTCCAGAGTCTGTTATTTCATCCAGGGCAGGACCTAGGCCCTTCCCCATGTGTCCAGACTGAGAGAGCATCCCTCCATGTGGAATGTGCTCCCAAAGTTCATTTGTATGCCATGGTGAACACTAATCTACTACCCAAAGCCCCAGAGATTTCTGAGGCCTCCTCACTGACACTACATTCATGGAGTCTGGATCAGTCCCCTCTTGGCCTCTTAGTCATCAGTCTGGGATAAAGGCTCTAGGATGTCACATAAGGTAGTCACCAACCTTATCATCAGGTAGGGGCTTTTAATGTAGTCTCTCTGATATTACTTAGTTTTCCAGGTGGTGTTGTCCTTGTACATCTCTGGGAATATCACTAGTGTCAGCTCTCTCATCAAAGCTATAATGACTCCAACTATTATGATATCTCTCATCCTGGTCTCTTCTATTCTTACACCGACTAAGCCTTCCTGCTCCCCCATGTCTTCTTCTACCCTCCTCTTATCCCCCTGTCTTTTTCCTGATTCCCTCTCTTCTCCCCCCTTGTTCCTAATCTGCTCAGGAGATCTTGCCTCTTTCCACTTCTCTGGGGTGTAATGCATATCTCTTGGGAACCTCCCTGTTACCCAGACTCACTGGCCCTGGGATTGCAGGCCGACATTCCACTGATCCATGCCTAAAATCAATATATGAGTACATGCCACGTTTGTCTTTTTGTGACTGGGTTACCGCACTCAGGATGGTTTCTTCTAGTGCCATCCATTTGCCTGCAAATTGCAAGATTCCTTTGTGTTTTTCCGCTGAGTAGTACTTCATTGTGTAAATGTACCACATTTTCTCTATCCACTCTTCAGTTGTGGGGCATCTAGGTTGCTTTCAGGATCTAGCTATTACAAATAATGCTGCTATGAACATAGTGGAACAGACATCCTTGTTGTATGAATGAGCATCTTTTGGGTATATGCCTAAGAGTGGAATTGCTGGGTCGTGTAGTAGACTGATTCCCATTTTCCTGATGAATCTCCATACTGATTTAAAAAGCTGAACAAGTTGGCACTCCCACCAGCAATGGACAAGTGTTCCCCTTTCCTCTCCAGCATAAGCTGACAGGAGTAAGATGATATCTCTGGGTTGTTTTGATTTGCATTTCCCTAATGGCTAAGGATGTTGAGCACTTTCTCTCAGCCATTTTAGTCTCCTCTATTATGAATTCTCTATTTAGTTCAGTCCCCAACTTTTAAATTGGGTCCTTTGGTATTTTGGAGACTAGCTTCTGGAGTTCTTTGTAAATTTTGGAGATCAGCCCTCTGTCAGATGTGGGGTTAGTGAATATCTTCTCCCAATCTGAGTGGTGCCTTTTTGTCTTGTTGACTGTGTCCTTTGCCTTACAGAAGCTACTCCGTTTTGGGAGGTCCCATTTATTAATTGTTGATATCAGTGTTTGTAGTTCTGGTGTTATGTTCAGGAAGCGGGCTCCTGTACCAATTTGTTCAAGGACACCTCCCACTTTCTTTTCTAACAGGTTCAGTGTGGTTGGATTTCTGTTGAGGGTTTTCAAGGTCTGTGAAGAATTGGGCTGGGATTGTGATGGGGAATGCATTGAGTCTATAGATTGCTTTTGGCAGAATTGCTATTTTTACTACATTGATCTTACCAATCCAAGAGCATGGGAGATCTTTCCATTTTCTGGTGTCTTCTTTAATTTCTTTCTTTAAAGACTCAAAGTTCTTGCGACACATGTCTTTCACTTGTTTGGTTAGCTTTACCCCAAGGTATTTTGTCTTGCGTGTGGTGATTTTAAAGGGTGATGCTTCTCTGAGTTCTTTCTCAGCCCTCTTATCTGTATATAGTAGGGCTGCTGATTTTCTTGAGTTGATCTTGTATCCTGCCACTTTGTTGAAGGTGTTAATCAGCTGTAAGAGTTCCCTGGTGGAGTTTTTTGGGTCACTTATGTAAACTATCATATTATCTACAAATGGTGAAAGTTTTACCTATTTCTTTCCATTTTCTATCCCCTTGATTTCCTTTTGTTGTCTTATTGCTCTAGGTCGAACAGCAAGTACAATATTGAAGAGGTATGGGGAGAGGGGACAGGCTTGTTTTGTTCCTAATTTTAGAGGAATTGTGTTGAGTTTCTGTCCATTTAGTTTGATGTTGGCTATTGGTTTGCTGTATATAGCTTTTATCATGTTTAGGTATGTTCCTCTTATCCCAGATCTCTCCAAGACCTTTACCATGAAGGGGTGTTGGATTTTGTCAAAGGACTTTTCAGCATCTACTGAGATGATCATGTGATTTTTGTTCCTCAGCTTGTTTATATGGTGGATTACATTGATGGATTTTCGTATGTTGAACCAACCCTGCATCCCTGGAATGAAACCTACTTGGTCATGGTGGATGAGTTTTCTGATGTGTTCTTGGATCTGATTTGCCATTATTTTATTGGGTATTTTTTTAACCAATGTTCATGAGGGATATTGGTCTGAAGTTCTCTTTCTTCGTTGTGTCTTTGTGTGGCTTGGGTATCAATGTTATTAAAGCCTCGTAAAAAGAGTTTAGCAAAGACCCTTCTGCTTCTATTGCATGGAATACTTTGAGGAGAATTGGTATAAGTTGTTCTTTGAATTTCTGGTAGAGTTCTGCCCTGAAGCCATCTGGCCCTGGGCTTTTTTTTTTTGTTTGGGAAACTTTTGATGACTGCTTCTATTTCCTTAGGTTTTACAGGTCTATTTAAATTGCTTATCTGTTCTTGATTTAATTTTGGAAAGTGATAGCTATCCAGGAAGTCGTCCATTTACTTTAAATTTTCGAATTTTGTGGAGTACAGGTTTTCAAAGTATGACCTGAGGATTCTCTGGATTTCCTCAGTGTCTGTTGTTATGTCCCCCTTTTCATTTCTGATTTTGTTAATTTGCATGTTCACATTCTGCCGTTTGGTGAGTTTGGATAAAGGTTTGTGTATCTTGTTGATTTTCTCAAAGAACCAACTCTTTGTTACATTTATTCTTTGTATTGTTTTCCTAGTTTCTGCTTCATTGATTTCAGCCCTCAATTTGATTATTTCCTGGTGTCTACTCCTCCTGGGTGAGTTTGCTTCTTTGTGTTCTAGAGCTTTCTGCTGTGCTGTTTGTTCTCTAGTGTAACTATTCTCCAGTTTCTTCATATGGGCACTTCGTGCTATGAACTTTCCTGTTAGCACTGCTTTCAAAGTGTCCCATAAGTTTGGGCATGTTGTGTCTTCATTCTCATTGAATTCTAGGAAGTCTTTAATTTCTTTTTTTAATTTTTTCTTTGACCCAGCCATGGTGCAATAGCACATTATTCAATTGTCATGAGTTTGTAGTGTTCCTGCAGTTTGTGTTGTTGTTGAACTCTAACTTTAAAGCATGGTGGTCTAATAAGATACATGGAGTTATTCCAACTTTTTTGTACCTGTTAAGGTTTTCTATGTTGCAAATTATGTGGTCAGTTTTTGAGAAGGTTCCATGTGGTGCTGAGAAGAATGTATATTCTTTTGTGTTTGGATGGAATGTTCTATAGATGTCTGTCAAACCCAATTGGGTCATAACCTCTATTAGTTCCTTTGTTTCCTTGTTAAGTTTCTGTCTTGTAGTCCTTTCTAGTGTTGACAGTAGCATGTTGAAGTCTCCCACTATTAGTACGTGAGGTTTTATGTGTGGTTTCAGTTTTGTAATGTTTCTTTTACGAATGTGGATGCCTTTGTATTTGGGCATAGATATTCAGAATCAAGACTTCATCTTGGTGGATTTTTCCTGAAATGAATATGAAATGACGTCCTTCATCTCTTTTGATTGATTTCAGTTTAAAGTCTAGTTTGTTAGAGAAACCTTTTCCTTGAGAGAAGCCTTCCCACCAGCCTGGTTCTAGAGCCGCATCAGTCCCAAATAAACACACAGGAGGCTATATTAATTACAAAGGTGTTGGCCTTGTTTGTTTCTTACGCGCTAGCAATGACTTAAGTATTTATCCCATAATTGCTAATCTAAATATTTCTCTTACCTGAGAATAGTTCCTGGCTTCCTACCCCATGGTGTTACATCTTGACTCTCTCTGTTTCTCCTTCCCAGAGTCCTCCTGGACTCCAAGTCCCACCTATCTAGATTCCTATTGGCCCAACAGTGCTTTATTGACACAGGACTTCCACATCATTGTTAGATATTAGGATTGCTAGCCCTGCTTGTTTCTTGGGGCCATTTGATTGGAAAATCTTTTCCTAACCTTTAACTCTGAGGTAATGCCTTTCTTTGAGGGTGAGGTGTGTTTCTTTTATGCAGCAGAAGTATGGGTTCTGTCTTCAAATCCATTCTTTCAGCCCATGCCTTTTTATGGGTAAATTAAGACCATTAATATTGAGGGATATTAATGAC